GTTGGGCGAAGCTTGCCGTCGCCGTTGCTAGAGAGACCCTCCAAGCGATCGCAGAACCGAAGAAAGGAAAAGGAAAAAAATATATATTAAAAAATTCGAAAAATATTAAAATAATATTAAAAGTTGTCCACGTTATCGTCGGCAGTGCCACGTAAGTCGGCCGGCATCCACATCATCAAAATCTGATCAAAATTAGCCGGAAGGACTGAATTGGTACAAAAATAAAAGGTTTAGGATTGAATTGGCGCTAAAAAGAGGTTTAGAATTAAATTGGCATACTTTTTCAACACTTTTTCCCGATAAAAGTTGAGAAGGATATCTCCGAAAGCGATATCCACGGAAATATGTGGTCATTATTGGTAAGCAAAGAGAAAAGTATGCATATCAGCCAAAAAATCAATTGCCATCGTTTCTCAAGTACAGTGTTTAGCACGCGGATATGTCTCGAATAGGAGGGGGAAGGCTTTTACGAGGCATGAAAGGCCGAGGAAGTGGCCAAGATGACTAGCTGCTGTTCTAGAGTTCTTTTTTTATGTATTATAGAATATTGTTAGGGGTATTATGAGTATTTTCATTTGTATTTTAGAGAAATTTTGTAATTAATAAGAGTAGATTGTAGATGGGGAGATTGGATCTCCATCCTTAGATCAATGGGAGGCTCATGTATATAGAGGGATTGCCTCCTCATCATTTGTAGGATCTTATATTCAACACAACAAAAGGTAATAGAGTGTTTTGTCCTAAAAACACTGCACTCTAGAATTTCTCAATAAACGAATTAGAGTGGGCTAAGTGAGAGATTTGAGTAACTGACGAGAGAAATGCCGAGCTTAGGAGACTCTAATAAGAGGTGAACAAATCAAAGGGAATCTAAGTATCATGCGGTGACGATGTCAAGAGTCAACCCGCGACACGTATACAAAGTTGAATATGTACGTAAAAAATTGAATAGAGATATACCTAAAAAAAAAACAAATTATATAGGAAATAAGTGAGGCTAGTTATTTTCTGAGTGGAGCAATTTGATCCCTGTATGGTGGATAGAATTTAATTGTTTAGTTCTTAAAAGTACCATGAAGGATAGTTTTGGAAATTGAAAAGTAAGACAAAATGAGGTGAATATATAAAAACAGTATATTAATCAATAATATCATGTGGACATAAGTAATTGAGTATGACATTAGATATGCATTCTTTTTTTCCTCCCTCATAACTGCTCCTTTATAACAATTTTCGATGCAAGAGTCCCAACTCGTTTTTTTTATTTTCTCTTATAATAAATCAATGTCCATTAGTGTCAATATGTCGATAAACGAATTGCCTCCCACTCCAATTTTTTCTTTTCTTTTTTGGTTTCAAAACGTTTGCTTTCAGTCCGTCAACTAGCATTTTTGGAACAACAAAGAAGCGCCTTTGCACAAAGGATAGCCCAAAAGGGTTGAGATGGGCCTTAAGTTCTTTGGGCCTTGGCAACCCAATCAGCTGACTGACCTCGCAATAGCAGTGAGCAACTCGGACTTCATGGAAATGGGCCAGACGCAATCCGCAATAAGGGCCCGTAATTCCCACCCAGGTTGATAAATACTCGAGGGAAAGGCTATCAATGATAAGCTATCGGTTTTCCAAGCACACCATTTATAGGGGTGAACATGGTTGCAAAGTAGAATCTAGAACTTGAGAACCGGACCGGTGGAACTTGTCAGCTCTGGGTTCTAAAGTATATAAGATATGTTCCGAACCTAGAACAAGTTTTTGTGATTTTCTAGATCTATGTCTTCGCACGATCTTGCGGTATTTCATTACATTCAATGATGAGTATATAATTTGGAACAACTAGTCTAAGCTTCCATTTTATGACTAAGACTTTTTCTTTATTAATGTTTTATATTTTTCGTATGTCTAAATATAAGTTGTGGTCAGTAGATTGTAACAGCAATTGACGATCGTTAAAGATGATGATTCATTGCAATCGTTCAATTAATAATACAAGTGGAACCTGGGTAGACCCTGGAACCTGTAATAAGGTAGGTTGTAGGTTTTATGATATATAAGATAAGTTTTAAGTTCCAAAAAATGATGAATCTGTTCCGATAGGTAGATTTCAGATTTTAGGTGGAATCTGTACGAAACCTGAAACCGCTCACCCTCTACACATGCAGATCAATTTCAACTTTGAAGTACTACTCAAAGTCTCCAGCAAAGGCTACACATGCAGATCAATTTCAACTTTGAAGTACTTCTCAAAGTCTCCGGCAAAGCTAGAGCTTCAGTGCGAATGTGCAAAGCCATCTGCCAAGCTTCCCGAAGAATGTTGACAGACCTTCCATTGTCCCTTCAGCAAGCGATTCGTAAAAGTTTATCTTCAGAGACCCTCTCTTCGGTGGACTCCATACAGACGGTAAGTCGCCTCGTTCATCAGCTGAAGTTTTCTTTATTGGATGCCTTTTCTTAAGAATCTAGTTCTGGGGCGAGGGCTATCTCACTAGTCATCGCCGGATTCGAGTGCACTAGGCAGGAGACAAAATTGTTTCATGCTTTCCATAAATTCCACAGAATAACCGTAATCAATTCCTGGGAAGGAAAGCTCAAATTGGGTCTTTTAGATTGCAACAACCATTCCTCTATTTTGGTGATCTCTCTGATCGAGATATAGATTTGTATTGGGGAGTCTGACCAAACTTCCTCTGTCCAGTGACACTAAAGCAAATATGTGCCCCATTGTTTATGGGAATTTTTGGCATAGAGGGCAGATCGATCCAGCTATGACTCTCCGTTTAATTGGATTTTCTCTCGTAGGCAAGGCACCTTGGCACACACTCCACATAAATACTCCGAGGTATTCAATTTCCAGATTCGCATTCATAGAGTCCTAGAAGGTCCATAGAATACTAGAAGGCCGGTTAACATTCCGTTGCTGCTCTGTTTCTCGAATTCGATCATACCCACTCTTCACTGAATTGTCTCCTAATTGACTTCTCGTCCAAACCAAGCTATCCTTCTTGCAATCGACACTTAGCGAATTGTAAGTATTTCATCCACCGTTTGCTCAAATTCTCCTTATTAATCAAGTCAGCCACTGTCTTACGTATATCACGAGTCGCTAGCCCTCCTATAACTAATTCTTTTAGCCATCTATCTTCACAAATGCAAATGTCCTCTCCATTACCATGCGGCCACCTTACTTCAAGAGAACTTGCATCCCTGCCTACAATTAGGCTCTATCGTCCCCAAGAAGGACGGAACCCTTTCCCGCACGCCAAAAATTGCCGTGTGGAAAATAAACTCCACTTGTTACCTGACTCCATATAGCTGAAGGTTCTTTACTAATCTCCAGCTGTCTTTCTCTTATTTTCAGCACTTTCCATACCTGTTTTAGACTCACTGGTTTTCCACCAGAAACCACTCTTTTTCCACGTCCTTACAAATGGAAATTGCGATTTATATTACTGACATTGCATATTGCCGAGTCTGACCAAACTTCCTTTGTCCAGCAACACTGAAACAATATGTGCTCTGTTGTTTTTGAGAATTTTTGGCACTGAGGGCAGATCGATTCAAGTTTGGCACTTCATTTAATTAGATTTTCTCTCACAGGCAGGCAATGTTGGCACACACTCCACATAAATACTCTGAGGTATTCAATTTCCAGATTCGTGTCCCTAGAGTCCTAGGAGTCAATAGGAAGATGATGCTCGCCTGCTCGGTTGACAATCTGTTGCTGCTTTGTTTCCCGAGTTTGATAATACCCACTCTTCACTGAATAGTCTCCTGATTTACTTCTAATCCAAACCAAGCTATCCTTTTCGCAATTCATACTAGTGTATTAGAAGTATTTCATCTATTCGCCCATCGAATAAACTCTGCAGAGTTTGCTCTTTCAATATCTTATTCTCCTTGATAATCAAGTCGGCCACCGTCTGAAGTTCATCACCACGATTCACTGGCCCTCCTATAACAACTTAGTTCTAGCCATCTATCTTCACGAATGCGAATATCCTCTCTATAACCAAGTGACCACCTTACTTCCAGAGAAATAGCTTCCCTGCCTACAATTAGGCTCTACCATCCCCAACGTCGATAACCTTATCCTGCAAGCCAAAAATTGACATACGGAGAAAATAAATTCCTTTCTAACACCTTAATCCATATAACTGAAGGGTTTTTGCCAACTTTGTCCAACATTGCTTCATTACAAGAAATTAAAGTCTCTGAGCCTAACCCACCCACTGTCTTATTTTCAGCACTTCCCATCTTCTTCAATGCACACCTAATTAAGACTCGCTGTTTTTTCCACCAGAAGCCACTCTAAATTGGGATTTATGATATTTACATTGCATATTAGGGCAAGGCTTGCATAATTACTTTAATTCAAATATCCTTGCTTGATCACAATTAGTGATACCTCAATATGATAAAATACAAGGTATATTCTTGTCTTCTCTATCTCTCACACTCTTAATCCACAAGCCACGTTCGTCTGAGAGACTGACAATTCACCAGGTAACATCAGAAATTTTTTACCATAAATGAAGAGAGCTAGATCAATCTTTACACCCTTGATCTATGATTTGACATTTTTAAGTCAATCATTTATTGTTTTGCAAAAAATGAAGAGTAACAGCAACAAAGATCTATGCACAACTAATTTAGAAGATAATGAAAATAATTACTTAAGAGCAAATATTTAAGAAAAGATTTTCCGGTCACTGTATGATCAGAGGAGGGCAAAAAAAAACTGATATTATTTTTTGCATGAAATTGATATTATTTAGGAAGACACTTCTGCTCAGAGTGTTGAAAGTATCTTCTCATCGATGAAAATCTCTGAAGTCTGACATGTGTATTATTACTTATTCATAATTCATCACTGCAGAAGTGAAAACAGTCAAGAACTTGCCATTGAAAAAAATAAACTCATCATTATTTGCCCCATTATTTAACAAAAAATCTCTTTTTTGTGCAGAAAAAAAAAAGACTGAAAAACACACTGACAAACAAATGGCTCTCATAAGAAACACATTGGATTTTCAGCTCACGATTCTTGGAGTCGGAATAGCGTATATCGCCCACAAGAAAGGGGCATGTAATCACAGAGCCATTGATGACTCAAAAACCCAACAGAAGAAATGCAGAAATCAGAACGAAAAACAAAAAAAAAATCAAGAAATTAGTCAAGAAAGAGATCAGAGTATTGGTTAAAGGGTAATCAGTCACGGTTTGATCAGAAACACGGACCAAATTGATAGTACTCATCACATCTCCGCTGTCACGAAACAAGAACGACGAAGAAAAACCCAGTAAAAAAGAAACGAGAAAGAAAGAAAAGCAGAGGAAGAAGGTTTGAACTCCAACGGAGAAGAAGAAGAAAGAGGCAATCATCAGAGACTTAAATACTAGGAATCCCGGGGCCGCAGCCCTTCATATTGTTGCAGTTTTTCTCTCATCACTTGATCGCCGCGGATCCGACTGGACAACCACAAAAGAAAGAAAGAAAAGCTTCGAAGCAAACCGAAATGGCGGACGCAGTGGAAGAATTCGGCTCGAGAGCGTTGCCTGCGCTCCGCTGCGGAGGAAGAGAAGACGGTGGAAGAGGAGGACGCTTCGAGCCGCTTCTTATAGATCGAACAGATGGGGGGAGGGTGCGCTCGTGCAGGAAACCCTAGATCGGACGGCCACCGCAGCCGCACGGTCGTGATTGATGGGCCTTGGAGGCCCAAACTAACATTCGGCATTGCAGATTGGGCCCAAATTCGCTCAAACATGAACTGCCAGAGGAGGGTGGTGAAGATGTTAAGGGAAAAATTACCAAAAAAATACTAAATCTTTTGTAATTGTGCCAATTCAATCTTAAACTTTTTTTTTGTCGATTTAGTCTTAAACATTTTACAATTGTGCCAGTTCAGTCCATCCAGTCACTTTTGGCCGGTCGACACTGACATGGGCGCCGGGCAGCTAGCGTGGCAATATTTTAAATTATTTTTTTTTCAATATTTTACAATCTGAAAACACAGTTCAACTGATATCATGTTCCATTACAAACTGTATACATATGCCTTTATGACGAGACACTGTGAATCCTCGCGAGTGCACGAAATCAAATTGAATCAACTCCTTAGTCTCCATTAATGTTATTGACGTTGCTATCGGTTGGCCAATTATTAGTCTCTATGAAGAGGTATGGTTCAATCCTTGCACTTGCTCACCACCCCAAGTGTGGGGACAAAAGGTAATCACGTACTCCTCGGAGGCACAACTCGCCAATGGCGGGGGCGAGTCGTAGGCATAGCTGTAGTAGCCCGGACAGGCATCCTTGAACATCTTAGAATACACGCTCGGCTTGCACTTGTCGGGTGTCCCGTACTCGTTCCGGCAGCAGAACTTGTCGGCATTGAAGGCCAAACAGGCGCTCTTGCAAGCCACGACCTCCCCATCCCGGTTCAACACTTGCAACTCCTCGGGGCACATGCCGTTCAAGTCTTTTGAGCACCCCGGGATGCCGCACTTGGGCCCCACGGGCCTCGTCTGGACCGAGATCGGGATGTTGTACCCATCGACCAGGCTGACGTCGTAGAAGCTCGGCTTGGCCTTGTCCGCCTGGAGCGAGACCTGGACCAGAGTGGCGGGAGGGGTACCGATGAGCCCGCCGCAGGCGAGCCGCCCGTCGCAGTCCCCGGTCTCACAAGCCGGTTGCCAGTTGGACTGGAACCTGCACCCAGTGCGGGCCCAGATCCGCCCGGTCCACGCCAGTGGGGCCGAGATGCGTTTGTTGGATCCTAGCGGGAGGTAAAAGCCTCCGTCTGCGATCACCGGTTGGCCCGTGTTGGAAGCCGTGGCCGGCCATATGGGAAATGGGCATTTGTTGTGGACATAGAAGGTGACTTGTTCTGCCAAGACAGCATTCCCTGCACGATGCCATTACATATTCGTGAAAAATTTCACCAGCAAACCAGAATTACAGTGATGAAATGCGAACACTTGAAAGTAGAGTATAAATCAGCAAATTACTTATGTATGTAGCATCAACATGCTGTTCAATCAGAAAGAACACAGGAGACGCAAGTTCCACTACATATGCTGTACAAGATTATGTGCTTAGTCGAACGAATCGTTACCGGGAGACAAGAGGAGACCGGTCAGGAAGAGAGAGAGAGACGAGATGAGATCTGAGGACTTCATTCTGAACAATAGGATTGAGTGAAGAAAACGTCAGGCTCATGACCGCATTTATAATTGGAGAAAACAATGAGATTGCGTGCTTCTTCCATTGCACTGCAAGTCTTGATGTGGCAGTCTTGAGAAGCAAGAAAAGGGACAGAGCTTTGGACGTGTTAACTTATCCCTCTCTTTGGATGGAAATCTTGGTCGATTGAATTGACCATTAGGAGCAGGGATTTGCAATGAATCACCTGCTCAATGAACTGTTAGTTGCTTCAAGCATAGGGAAATGACAGACAAAAGCCATCTATGCAGCACAAACATGCATTGTCATTCTCTGTCGGTATTATTAAAACGCAATAGGGTCCATGTTAAAATAAACAAAAAACCTTGAAAATTAGTAGCTGAGAAAAGCTTAACCCACCATTATCTTTTCCAAAATCCAACGTAATTTGACTTTTATTAGACGCGAAACATCTAAAACTTCTCATTGTAACATATATAATTGACTCATTAGATTCTTTATTTCAAATCCAAAGTAATTATCCAGGGAATCTTTTATTGTAGTTGTGAATGAATATTTACAGCCTTTAATATATATATATCAAATCAAATACGAGTCATTTCATTTCAACAAGACTTTATACAAAAAAGAAATAATCGTTTAAACCACCATCTCAAATCAAACATTAATGATATAGTCCATTGATCAATCTCTATTGAAAACCACATCAATGGTCTATTCCGTTGACCAATCTCAAATCACATCAATAGTTTATTCCATTGATAAATCTCATATCACGGCACATGTCGATGGTCCATTCCATCGATTCATTTATTGCTCAATATCAAACCATGGTCACAACACAACGCCTTATGACAAGACTACCAAGATTCCTCCATTGACAAGGACTCCACCTATAAACCCGGTGGCTTGGCTCAAAACGATATTCTAACCGGTATGCATACCCCAAACCCCTCAATGGGTTCATAGTGATATTGAGTACAAAATTCACATCCTCCAATACCAGGAATCAAACTCACAATCAATATCACCAATTCATTTCACAAAACAGAACACGTAATCTTTCTCAATTTCGTTCATCAAACTAAACACATCTAACAAGACAATTCTCACATCATTTCAAAATTCTTCATAAATCAATATATATAACCTTTTGCAACAATTTTCATAAAACGTTTCTCAAATCATTTAGAACTCATTCCGTAAACCAGTTCACAACATAATACATATATATCCGTTCACAATACCTTTATTAAAACCATTCTCAAATCGTTCTCAAATATTAAAGGGCAATAATTGCCCGATCCAGACTTTTATGCAACAAACATGCTTTAATAACGCGCATGATACTCAAATTTTTATTACTTTCAAGACATGAGTTTATAAATCCATTGAAAAGATAGCACCATTCACCTGGGAATGTCTACGACCAAACGACAAAAATTGCTCGAACCGTAGAACTCACAATCTTAACAAGTAAATGAAAATCAACGTCAAAACCAAGTAAAACACTACGATAACTACAAAATGGCTAAACTACACTTAAGTACTAACAAAAAGACTTCTACACGCTAACAAAACTCTCAACCGAAACAAATATTCAAAGTTATCCGCAACGCGGAACTTGAGCGCGAAAACTCTTTCCACCGAATCCCGTTTCAAGCAAACTTACAGTCAAAGAAAGATCTTTCGAAGAACTAGAAGACCCACAACTTAGCCATCCCAAAATTTAGCCAAAAATCAACAAAAATCGGCCTAAAATCCGTTGGTCGTTCACTATTCATCACTCGCGGCCAATTTCAAAATTTTGTTTCAGGCAAAACCGTAAATCCAAATCAAGATCCAAAAAATCCTACGACCCCACAACACCCTAAACTACCATTTCTATACATATTCATAACTCAACAACTCTTTAATCGAACCTCGTAATTCAAAATACAAAAAACCACAAATTGTGTCATAACCCCTAAATATTATTTCGATTAGACGAACGAGGGGTGCAAGTACTTACCGGACGTTGCGATACGAAGTAACTCTGGCTTGGTGAGACTCTCGTAGCTAATACACGCTCTCCCTTTCTTCTTCTTCTTCTTCTTCTTCTTCTTCTTCTTTCTTTTCTCTCTCTCTTTTCTTTCTTTCTTTTCCCTTTCCCTTTCTTTTCCGCAAGAGCTCTCGGCCTCTCTCTCTCTCTCTCTCTCTCTCTCTCTCTCTCTCTCTCTCTCTCTCTCTCTCTCTCATTGCTTTTCATTATAAGTAAGCTGAAGTCCACTTTTTCTTCTTTTGTTGACTTTTCAACTCTTTTTTTTTTTTGCTTTGTAAAAATCTAAATATTACAATATTCATTCTGATCTTTGGGGGCCTACGAAAGTTCCTTCGAAAGGACTTGGTTCAAGATATTTACTCACTTTCATTGATGATTTTTCAAGAAAAGTTTGGGCCTATTTTCTAAAACAGAAGAGAGATGTTTTTATTACATTTTAAATAATGAAAAACATTGATTGAGAAACAGATTGGTAAGAAGATCAAGAGGCTAAAAACAGATAATGTGCTAGAGTTTTGCGGACGCAAGTTTAATGAGTTCTGCAAAAATGAAGGCATTGTGAGGCATCATACTATCGTGAATACACGACAACATAATGGTATTGCAAAACGCATGAACAAAACCTTATTAGAAAGGACTGAGACAGTCAATACAGCTGCTTGATTGATAAATCGTTCTCCTTGCACATCTATTGAGTGCAAGACACCTGAGGAGGTATAGTCAGGTAAACCTATTGATTATTCTTCTTGTTGAGCAAAATCCTTAATGAGTTTTGAGAAATGACAAAATAATCTATTACTGACCAGAATTACACTTAAGTTATTTGATGCAGGTAAATGCTGAGTCATAAGACTTAGTCGATGAAAGGACTTTGTCATCAGACTCAAAATTACTCGTCAGAATTATTGAGTGTTATTTTTGGCAAGCTTATGCAGGATAAACAAATTGATATTTTCAAATATCCAAATTGGTAATCACAAGATCGTTCCCCAAATACGAAGAACTACACTTATGGAAACCTTGATTTGATTGTATGGGCGATCAAATCACTCGGAGATAATGGTTCTTCTTCTAACGGCTATGCATCCTATTTTGGGAAGAATCTCCAACGGGTTGATTTGGAGAATCAATACTCTGAAGACTGTCCAACGGATAGATTGGAAGTAAAGGAGTATAAAAGGAGTGTAAACGTCGTACAAGAAATAAGAGAACCAGAATCAAGAATTCCAAAATTTGAATAGAGCTTCGATCTTACACACTTGTGATTACTGTTTTTCACGTTGTACTTATTAGAAAGAAAATTACTTAAGTGAAGAGTGTATGTGATAGTGTTATCTATCATCTAAGAAGCACAGCTCTTGTAATCTTCTGGTGATTCAATAGTAAAATACAGCCAACAGGCTGCCAGCGTGGAGAGTGGACCTAGGCTCAATATAGCTGAACCACTATAAAGATATGTGTGCAGTATTCTCTATTCTTAAACTTTTATTTATTATTGCTGACATTATACTGTACACATATCTATCAAACAAGTTCATCAGAACATCATCTTGATCATCAGACGTAATCATCTGACAACAATTTATATACAAGTTTGTTATACGAATCCATCTGATATTGATCATATGAGTTGTTGACTTAGATTATATTCATTCCGCACGTTTAAATCATACAATTTTGGTAAAATCACCTATTCACCCCCTCTAGTTGATAGCACTAGCCGTAACACTTCTCTTCAAGTATTTGGATATCTATCATATGCACATGTTAGTGAGGGCAAACTAGAGCCTAGAGGAAAGAAATGCATCTTTCTTGGTTACGCTTTTGGTATAAAGGGTTATAGACTTTGGTCTACTGATTCATCTAAAATTGTCATCAACAAAGACATTATTTTTTATTAGTTTATTATGTTTTTTCCTAACAAGAAATCATCTATTCCTCATCATGAAAAATCTGGAAAGTGCTACGAAGAAGGTGGAACTTGAAGTAATGTCTTCACACCAGTTCAGTCGTCTACTGATACTACTAAGATTGAAGAACCTAAAAAGGAACAGTATTCTATTGCCAAAGATAGACCAAGAAGGATAGTGAAGCCTCCATAAAAATATGGTTACTCATATTTTGTTACTTATACTCTTTCAGTTACAGAGTCAGTAGATATAGTGAGTCTAAAACTATAATGAAGCTATCTCTTGACAAGAATCAAACTCTGAAGCTTGTCAAGCCACCAAAAGAAAAGAAAATTATGGGCCGCAAATCGATTTTCAAAAGAAAAGAGGATATTCCTGGAGTTGAAGACATCAGGTTCAAAACTCATCTAGTTGCTAAAGGCTATAGTCAAATTGAAGGAGTTGATTTTAATGATGTGTTTTCACCTGTCGTTAAGCACATTTCCATTCGGGTTTTTCTTGCATTAGTTGCTATGCATGATTTTAAGTTAGAACAACTTCATGCGTAAACAGCTTTCTTGTATGTCTTCAAATCTATATGGGTCAACCAGAGGATTTTCAGTTTGAAGGTAAGGAATATCATGCTTGTCTATTGAAAAAGTCTATATATGGCTTGAAGTAATCAGCTAGATAGTAGGATAAAAGGTTGGATTCATTTATGAAGCAACTTGGTTATTGTAGGAGCAAATATGATAGTTATGTATATCATTGCAAACTTCCAAATAGCTCTTTCATTTATATGTTATTATATGTTGATGACATGTTGATTGTAGCAAAAGATAAATCTAATATACAAAATTTAAATGCACAGTTGAGCGCTAGATTTGAAATGAAGGATTTCGGTGAAGGGAAAAAAATCCTAGGCATGGAAATTTGGCAAGATCAAAAAAGAGTCTCTTCTAGAAAAGCTACATTGAGAATGTGTTGGATCGTTTTGGAATGAAACAAGCCACACTAGTGAGTACTCCTCCTACTGCTCATTTTAGATTATCAACTTGTTTGTGTCCACAAACAGATGAAGATATAAA